CCTGTCGTGGTTTCTCTTTTGTGCTGTTATCTTTGATCTGGCAACATCGAAGGAGAGCAACGAGGACTCAGATTATGCTTCGTCCACCAATAATACACACATATTCGGTCCATGATCCACATCATACAATGTTGGCCCGGCAAAGCTTAAGCGCTGCACCATGAAATCAGCACCTCCTCAAGTGCCGGACCGGCACTACTGTGGGATATTTGAAGCCTTAATAGTGCCGGACTGGCACTATTGAGGCACTATTCTGAATACTGCCGGTGCCCGCTATAGTGCCGCTTTTCCCTCTGGGCACTACCCGGCACTATTGAGGGCCCCCTGCTGCTGTATCTCCGCGCCCGGGAGAGTCTACAAGCTGGGCCAGCCAAGAAAATCATGAAATGGCTGAGAGCGATTTCTCTCACGAGTTTTACGGGTTGGAAAATGAAATTTTGGCATGCGGTAGGTATTGGAAAAATAACCACCTTGACTATGAGTGCTTTTCAGTTTTAAGGTTTTACCGTGAGGTAGCCCTATTGAGGGACAATGGGAATCCTATTGTAGTGTATTGGAGGACTAAGTAAAACAATACAAAACAAAAAGCGCCTAAAGTCCAGGTGTTTGTTTTACCAATACCCATCACATGACCAAATTTCAGATTCCAACTCGTAAAACTCGTGAGAGAAATGCGATAACCTCACATTCCTCAGCTATCTAATGTGTTATATCGGATTCTTTACGAAGCCATAACTTTCGAGGGAAGACGATGTGAACCATCGTTTTTCTCGTATTTCTTCCAGGTGAGTGGACACCAAATTTCAGCTCATTCTGTGAAACGTGTTTGATGCTGATTTCAGTGCTCATGGATGCCAATGCCCAGACCGGAGGAGGGATAGCAGGGGAAAACGAAGGAACCATGGGCGAGTACGGGCGCAATGAGCTGAACGAAAATGGTGAGCTGCTGCTGACTTTCGCCACGGACAACAGATTAGCGGTCCTCAACACCTTCTTCGACACACGGAGGGGCGGGATATGGCATACGTTCAACGGCCCGTCGGGACGCGAACGTAGGTGCCTCGATTACATCCTGACGCGCCAAGCACACCGCGACCGAGTGTCCAACATGGAGGTCGTACCTCAGCCAGTGCGCCCAGTCAGAGCGGACTCAGACCACAACATCGTAGTAGCCACCGTCGAC